GGCATTTTGTGAATGAAATCATGAACTGCTTAATGAAGAAAGCCTAGATGCGCTGAGTTACTGTATTGTGGAAAAGAGAAGACTAAACATGGGGGTAGATCTTCCAAGTTGTTTGGAAAAGGTTGCTAGATTAATCACTCTCCAAGACTTATATTCTGCTTAGTCTGCAACAGGGAAGAATTCAGTTGTAGTAACAAAAAAAGTTTCTACCTGGAAGTACAGCTATGTACTTGAGTAAGTTGCCTGCATATTATGGAACATCTAGCTTCAGCAACTTTTGTGAATAGACTATACAAACTTCAGTCAGAACTATTTTGCCTCAGAAGCAGTGTGCTAGACTAGACAAATTCTTGGTAACTCACCTTACTGTATTTTTTTCTGAATCTCTTGAAGATACACATAAATAGCCCCTGTTCACGTGTAGAGTTTACATCTATTTTTTCTCACTTTGTTGATCTCTTATAGTTAGCTGATTTAAAGTGCTAATAACTTCATGAATGTTGTCTAATAATCTACTTAAGATATTAATGTCTAAATTTTTGAGACTGAGGAATTTAAAATTATCTAAATTGATAGCATATTTATTGTATTGATAAAGTAGTATCTAAATATTAAATCTTTCACATTGTTATTAAGCATCATGTTTTATTGTTTATATTTAATACCAGATAAACCATATTGATGATTTTCCCATTATACCATAGTCACAAGCGTTAGATTTCAAAAATCTATTTTTCTAAGTTGGATACTTCAAAATAGCTGATAGATGTCTTGCTGATATTTTATTCCATTAAAACTCAAAGAGTGCTCACTATTTCAGATTTATTCTAATATACAGGAACAAAAAGGAACTCATCATTATTCTGTGTTTCTTTACAGGCGACAATTCACAAATGTTTGCTTAGACGCAGTTAGTTGCTACCTGGTTGAACTTCAGTCTATGACCCCAACACTAATGGTGCAGACTACGATTGGGAATTTTAAATCACTACAGGCTAAATTAGAACGGCTCCACTAATTGACTAATACAATAACACAGGCAGTATCTCAAATAGAATGAATTGTGAAATGAAAGTTCAAATGTCTGCAGTGAATCTCTGGAAGAAGAGATCATCAGAAATTCTGAGAACGTTGTATCTCCTGCTGCAGTTACAGATTGCGTGGCCTATATTCTTGCTATTCTAACGGTATCTACAAATTGTAGAATGTAAATGTGACATTTTCTTTTACTACTACAAAATTTTTTAACAATGGAAAGCTTTTTTATACTCCTGGAATAAAACACATTGTGTGATCTTTCCCTTGAGGATTAAACACTTTGGAAAATACTCTTTTTTACTTGAAGTAATGGAGAAAAGTAGGATGCAAAATCTAGTTGATCACTGTTTTTACAAGTATCAAAACAGTGACAATTGCAGAAGCCAGGATGATGATAAAAGCACATGTAGATGAGTCAGGCTGTAAACATGGCCATACCAGGGAGTAGTGATGTAATCATAACTCTGCATGATTGTATTTCCAGGTCTTCCAATTACAAAGAATCGTTATTTCATAAATCTTACTTGAAACAGAGACTGCTTCTGCAGGTAGAGTATTCGGGATGAAATTGCAGACACTAGCAGTCTAATTTGTATTGCAAGTGAAATAACAGTATTGAAAGCCCATTGACTTGCTTTCTATATTGCATTTTAATGAATATGTTGTATCTATTGAAATAAAGTACTCAAAACGTGACTTCTGTCTGCTTCCATTGCATGCACACAAGCACCAAATCGTGTATATTCCTCGAAAGGAGCAAAGTCTACACATGCTTCCTAAGATTTTAAAATCTTGTCCTAGAAGGAAATCTGTTTTGTCTGGTTTACTGCTATGCATTCTGTACATATTCGACAACATAAACTCTGTATATCATGCACAAGAAATTACCAGTTCATGCTAGTCTTAAGTCTTTCTCAAATATCTTCTTCACATAAGCAGATAATCAGAGAACTTTTTAATGGGGGAAGAAGCAAATTATGCCTACAGAGTAGATGAATGTATTCTCGTTTTTTTTTTTTTCCCAGGAGAATTAGCAGTTCATATACACATCAGAGGTGTTAAAAAAACGGGGAAAAACATACAGATTGACATTTACATGCAAGTTATCAACTTAAAACCTTTACTACCAGATGTGATTACTATGCTCTGAAGTTTTGTTTACAGTATTATTTTTTTCTGAACTGTCAGGTACATTATGATGGTTTCCAGCCAGAGAATGCACCTAGTAAAGTAGTATGTAAATTGTATTCCTTTTTTACCTTGTTAGATGAAAATAGAGCTGCAATCTTAATATTGGCTTTTCTCTTGTTAGTGTTGAAATTCCTTCACAAAGTATTTGAATGGAGGAATTACTGTATGTCCTGGGAAAAATATTTGCATCTTTCTATATAAAAGTACATTAATTTTAGTTAGTACAAATTACTCTATGCTGTTAGCCATGTTTCACACCAAGGATGCCATGTACATATACCCAAGTCTTGTTCTTACAGTTCAGTTCATACTCCATAAAAGTGATGTCCCAAGTCTTGCCTGATGTATTTTTTATTTCTAAATTTTAATGTTTGCATGTTAAGTGGTGCAATTGTTGTGGGGCCTATAGGGATGCTGGGGAGGGACTCTTCATTAAGGACTATAGTGATAGGACAAGGGGTAATGGGTTCAAACTTAAACAGGGGAAGTTTAGATTGGATATAAGGAGGAAATTCTTTCCTGTTAGGGTGGTGAGGCACTGGAATGGGTTGCCCAGGGAGGTTGTGAATGCTCCATCCCTGGCGGTGTTCAAGGCCAGGTTGGACGAGGCCTTGGGTGATATAGTTTAAAGTGAGGTGTCCCTGCCCATGGCAGGGGGGTTGGAACTTGATGATCTTAAGGTCCTTTCCAACCCTAACTATTCTATGACTCTAGAATCTGATTTCTAGTTTTATATCTGGAGAAATGACTGAAGAGTTAGGAACAGGTGCAAGACACAGATACGAGTTTCAGATATTTTTTTTTCCAGTTAATAGAAGAAGAATGCCTCTGGCAACATTACAAGGTTTTCAAGGTAAGCATTTCAAAGAGTATTATGAGTTATCTTTGATATTTTTCATCTGATCTAAGGTAATTTCAGTGTAGACATTATCTTACATTTTCACAGCACTTGCTTTGCTCTCAGGTGGAGAAAAGGTCGGTTCAGTTTCCCAATTTAAGTTTGGAGCAATATGGAAGCCTGAGATCAGAAGAGAGGGATAGGTGGATTAAAGCAGTAGGTGAGATGTGTGATGAGTACAAGGAAGTACAAGGGCACGTCTCTAGAATGAAGGATCACTGCCTCCCCAAGATCGTGTTTTACGGTGAACTTGCCACCGGTAGCCGCAAGAGAGGTGCCCCAAAGAAGAGATACAAGGACTCCCTGAAACAATACCTTAGCCTTGGCCATATTGACTACCATCAGTGGTCCACCTTGGCCTCCAATCGGGAGACTTGGAGGCACACCATACATAATGCCGCTGACTCCTTTGAGTGCTCACGAAGAACTAGTCTCGAGGAAAAAAGACAATGCAGGAAGAATTGCACCCCACCTGTTCCACCCAAGGAGACCTTCTGCTGTGCTTTTTGTAGCCGGATTTGCCTATCCCACATTGGCCTTCTTAGTCATCAGCGTGCTTGTAGTAAGCGTGCGTAAAGCCCTTCCCAAATCTTTGTTCGCAAAGTCAAGCCATGATGATGATGATGATGATGACAAGGAAGTAACTGACAACATGGATATGAATCTCATCTCACTAAAATAGTTATCAACAATTGGATAATTGCTTTTGTGGGTCTTTTTTTTTTTTTTTTAATCCCAGTGTTACTCATTCTCGATCAAGACTGGTTAAGGGAGGGAAGGAAAGAGGCTTGGTACAAAGTGGTTTCAGGAACAAGCACTAGTTTGAGAGAGTAGCTACTTTAAAGGAATCTAAGTCATTCTGCAAGGGAATAAAACGCAGTGATCATGTGCTCACCTCACCTTCTTGTACACCACCTGAATTCGTGTACCTGATAGCGCTGATCCCTTAAAGCTGTATCTCTTACTGTCATTCAACCCCCGCCATCTCCCAGGCTTGATGACCTCTCGTGAGCCTTCTACCCTGCCTGCAGGTCAGAACCCGAAAACGCAGCCATGATCGTGGCTCGGCTCGGCTGAGGAAGCTGTTCTCGCGGCGAAACCCCGCGCATGCGCACTGCGAGCTGTCCCGCCCGCGCCCCGCTTCCCGCGCTCAGCTCGCGGCTGTTCGCGGCGGGTGGAGTAGCGACTGGTGAGCGCGGCCTTGGTGGCGCTGGTCTGGTGGGGACGCGGCGGGGGGTGGAGGGGGCAGTGCGGTTCGAGCAGAAGTTAGCCTGAGGGGCCACATCCGCGTCTCGGGCAGAAGCGGCAGTGGGGTTATTGTGAAGTCTTCCCACCACTTCGCTCCCCAAGCAGCCCACGCTTCGCTTCGGGGGCTGCTCCCACCTACCCGCGAGTGACTCTCCCAGAGGTGAGGCAGCTGCCTGGCCGCCGCCGCTGTTCCCCTTTATTAGGGGTGTCCGGCGCGCCGGCGGCCCCGGGGCGGCCCCGAGGCGGTGATGAACGGGCGCGCTCCTCCGACACCCAAGGAGCGCTGCCAATATCGTGCTCCGGCCGTGATCTCTCGCGGTTAGGAGGCTTTATGTGTCCTCTGTTTCTTCCTCGTTCTTGTTAGAGCTTTCAGTAAAGCCGTTGGTCTTGCGGCGTCTTTCTCTCACTTCTGGAACAATGTAATCTGAACTGCAAATGGCCTCCACGAAAGTAGACAGTTTAGTTTAGAAATACAGGTAAGTATCAGTTCTGTTTTGTTTAGCAGGAGGCTGCTGTAGTTGAAGAGTTTGTGTCTAGATTCTCACCTTGTACTCCCATCCCATATCCTCAAGTAATAAAAACTTCCTGTATTTTTTTTCCTTTGTTTCTTCAGATTTTCTATGGATACGTGAAAATGCCACTGTTTGCTTTTCTTTGTAGTGGCTACCTAGAAGTTTAATAAGAATGGAGTTTAAGCTAGATGTACTCATCTCTACAGCTATAAAGCAAAGAAAGCCATGGCCCCGCATCTCATGGATTGGACAGGTAAATGTTATGAACTTTTTTTTATTTAAATAAAAATATGCAAAGAGTGGGGGTTTAATTATGTAACAGTTTGCACTTATGTGTAGTGGGAGTGAGTGTGCGTAAAAAAAACTGCAACAAAACAAAAAAAGCAAACCTCAGGAAGTGTTCAGATGTAAGAGTTCTTGAAATAAAAAGCTTATTCTTCTGTCTTACTGACTGGAGGCAGGAGATTAAAAAATTCTCAGATAAACAATTAATTGAGAGTCATTTGGTTTGGTTTTCCAAAAGACCTGTTCCTTATATGCTGTTGTTTTGATGCTTCTAGTTTTTCATAACCATTTTTACAGTACATTGTTGGAAATTGTGAACAGAAGTTTTTCCCATACCATCTTGCACTTGTTGAGGGATGTGCTTTCTTAAGCTTTTTTGATAATCTCTTTCTTCTTCTGCAGTATGATTTATGTTGAAGTTGCTAACCACTTAAGATCAATTCCTTCTTCTGTTGAAATCACTGGCAAAAATCTCCCTAAATTAAACTCTACAACAGGAGATAACTAGTGTCTAATTTGTTGTTGTGCTGTCATTTCTTGGCAGGTAGTTCAGTTGAGATTCTTTGAATGATTGCAAAATTAGTTAGTTTGAAACCTGTGAACCATCCTACCAGTGTAGAATAATGCTCGGTGTGATGTAGTGTAAAGTAAATATACCATAGAATGAAATTGATATGGTAATTGCAGCTGTAACATATTCTTTCTTATTCTTTTTTAAATTATTTTTCAGTAACATTTTTTTATTGCTGCATTGTTTTCCAGGCTTAGGTAGAAAATAATATTTTAGAAACTGAAATGCTCTTTTTTTTTTCTTTCAACAGGAAAAAGAGGCTGTTTTTCTTCTAGATGATAAACGTATAAATGAAATTAACCTGGCATCGGGGAAGACAAAGAAGAAAATCCCTCACTTGCAGTCATTGCTGAAAAATGTAGTTGTTTTAACAACATCAAGAAATGGTTAAGTACAATATCTTACTTTTAAAAACTCATTTTGTAGTTTTAAGAGTTTAGAAAGGTAGAATATCTAAAGGATCAGACAGTTAACTGACAGATAACTGTCAGCTTTAGAACTGACACATAAATGTCAGCTTTGGAACTGTGGCTAAGATGGAAGGGAAGTAATTCTAAAGACTTCGCAATAATATCCTTGAAAGCATCTCTTTTCTGATGAACACAGGTGCTTGGTTGGCAGGAATACTTTCAAGAGGAGATCTGTTTCTTTGGAATAAAGATCAGGACTGCTTGAAAATTGTGCCAGCAGTTGAAGAGTCTAGGAAAGTAGTTTCATCAGCACAAGGTAATTTTTTTTCCAAGTGGTCTTTTGACAATTAGAATCGAGCAACAGTGGTTTTCTTATTGTTAAGTGTTAGTGTACAAACAGGTAAAAGCTGTACTTTCCCATTGTTTTGCATTTATATAATTTGTATGCTGGCTAAGCTTTGACAAATGTCCTAAATATTACTTGAATGGTACAGTTTTCTGTGTTTAGTTGTCTCCTGTAAGCGGTAATTAATTTTTAAAACCAGTGAGTATTTTATTTTTTAATGGTTAGTTTTTAACTGTACAGAAACATTCCTTACTAGGCTTTGAATAGCTTAGAAAAAACATACATCAGATGTAAACCCTGTATGCATAATTTAAATGTATTCTGTAGGTAGATTTTTATGACAAACGCTCACTGAAGAGAATAATACAAAGGTACATATTTGCAAACTAAGTATGAAATAATCTCACTGATACCAGATTGTAAAGTGAAGTACTGTATAAGCAACTATCTCATTTCTGGGATGACCAGTAGTGCATTTAGGTACTGAAAATAATAGATAGTGGAGCACTTGGCATTTTCATGAAAGATGGATTTCAAGAAAGATATCTTTGGAAACAACTCTACTGATTGAGTCTTGTGGAGAAGATAATTAATAAAATGCATAAAAATGTGTGTTCTGTCCGACATCCCTGCTGCCCAAGGTCTGTTGTCAATGATGAAGCTGAAAATGAGACACTTAAGGGTAGCAGCTTGGATTTTGTGTGATAGAGAAGAAATCTCCTTTATCTATAATTAATTTTAAATCTGAATCTAACAGAGGAGCAGAAACTATTCTGGCACATTGTTCTGTTTGTTGTGGTGGTGTTGCTTTTTTCCCCCCCCAGAGTGTTTAATGAGATTGTACTTGTATGTGTCCGGAGATGGCAGAAAAGCACTGTTAACTACTCCTACAGCATGTGCTTTTTTATGGGAAAGCACAGAACATGAAAATACATCCTCTTGTAAAAATTCTTCTCCTGGGCGCTGGACACAGATTTTGCCTGATGAATCAGTCATGTTGCCTTCTGCTGAAGAAAAAGAAATTGGAGTGCATGCTGCTTTCATACAAAATGAGGTAAAAAAAATAAGCCCTACAGTGATCACTCAATCTCTTATTTAAATTAGAGCCACAGAAGCTACAGTGAATTTGAGAGCAGCGTCTGTGTCTTCACCTCCTTGGTGTTGTACGTAGGCTTATTGTTCAGTTCATATTGGATATAATGAAAACATAAGAACAGCTATACTGCATCAGACAAAAGTTTATCTGGCCTAGTAATATTGAAAACTTTTATTTTTCTGAAAGACATTGTTATTTAATGTGAATTGTAATGGCAAGTTATCTAAATATATAAACAATTACAGACAAAATTGTGTGTTACCAGGTTTTTTGGTTTTGTTCTGGTTTTTAGTTGTATTGGGTTTTTTTTGTTGTTTGGATTTTTTTTTTCCCCACAGATTCTTGGTGATTGCTGTTTGTGCTCATTTGTATTCTACTCTGGAGAACATCTGGTACTCACATTTTTAATTATTCGATGGCATGAAAATAGCTTTAAATATGTTAGGTAAGTTCAAAGATGTTTGAAGTTAATTAGCTTGAGGAAGATTTTTGTTATGAAGTGCTTTCGAGCTGGGATTTTGCTTCCTGTTCCCCTTTTTGTCATGTGTGCCTAGACAAGAGTGTGTTTTTCTTTATCTGGGCTGAGACCATATACTGAAATAGTTGAACTGATACGACCTCTTAAAAATGCAATTGAACAATAATCCTGAGTCCATTCCATGTATAGTCCGTTCTTCTTTCTAAGTGAGATACAATTATATATGAAATGAAATAGATATGTTCTTTGCAAGTATAACTTGAGTAACTTGTTAGAAATTTGCCCTATGCTTCACGTGGTACAACTGCTTTTGTTAATGATACTCTTGATACTGATGTCCTCCTTGTCCTCTTAAGCTGCACCACTCTGCACTCAGTTTGTGAGTAGGATGCTAATGCCTCTCTGTTAATACTAAAATGAAATATAACATTCCCACAGCAGAAGTGCATATATATACACTATAATACTTGCAGCCTGACGTTATAACATTTCTCAGCTGTGTTACTCATGATTTCTTTATAGCAACTGTGGCTTGTTTTTGTTTACTATTGCTTAATACACTTTTTCATGGTACTGCTTCATTTTTTTGTGTTAGGTGGCATGCTTCCAAATGGAATCTTTCTCGTGTTTTCTACCATGTTAAGAATCTTTCTAGGTTCTTGGGGTGGTTTGGGTTGGAAGTGACCTATAACGATCATCTAGTTCCCACCCCCCTGCCATGGGTGAGAACAACTTCCACTAGATCAGTTTAGTGGAAGCCAAATACAGCCTCACTTTGTACTCTTTAATGATGAGGCGTCCACAGCTTCTTTGTTCATTGCAGCATACTGTTGATTTTCATTTTTGAATTCTGAACTCCTCTGTTGGAGGACATTATACTGTCTGAGGAAGCTATTCTTGGCTAGAATGCAAGTGCCTTAATTATATGGCATACATCTATATTTATTTTCATGTTCTATACATATAGCTCAAATTCCCATCCCATAAAAATAATTCTCAGTGCTCAGACATAATTTTTAAACTTGTGTAAATATATTTTTCATTTGTAAGGCTTTTGAAGAAAAATAGGCTTTTTTTTTTTTTCCCCCCAGTTGTTCATGCTTTATGTATTTTTGTCTTGCATGTTTGTTTGGGTTTTTTTCTATATATCAATCATCTCGTTAAGCATAACTGAGTAACGTTTTTTTCTTGTCTTTGTTTTGGTACTCAGTTCTTTGCCATACCAGGTACACTGGGTACAACAGGCATGTTCGCTTCTTAATATGGTTCCTCAGTGTGTGTCTGTAAAGTCAAGAGGAGCTTTGCTGTGTGCGTTTGCAAGAGATGGACTTCTACTTGCAGTAGCTGTTAATCAAACTGATCCAAAGGTATATGAGTGATAGACAGAACATCATTTAAGCCAGTAGTTCAGTTGAAATGAAATGGTAACAGAGGTTTAATAACATATTTGTAAGAATGATTTTTCAGCATTCCTATTGATACATGTGATTATATTCAAATTGATGAACCATAGCTAAAATATTCTGCTACAAGCTGCAATATTTTAAATGCTGTTGTTAAGAAATCCATATAAGACCCTCTGACATTTCCAGTCTCCAGGAAATACAGTAATGGATTAGCTTTAGATATTGCATGTTATCTGCAAAGATGTGAGATGATTCTTAGGCTGAGGCATGATTAACATGTCTTGGAAGTTGTATTCCCACTTCATATTGTTATTTCTTCTAACATCTTGGAGGCCAAATCTTAATGTTGTTTTTAGTGCTAATCATGACAGGGAGGGAATACAGGCCAGCTTATTTAGTGTACTAGGATGGGATGATGCAGTCCTTCAAAGCTCCAGGTTTTATTTATCGGCGAAACTGGAAAAGTGTGATCTTACATTGTTTTGAGGGTTTTAGAAAAATCTGTGTTAAAAAGCATATTGATTTATATATCAAGTATACATTAAATATAGAATTAGGCATAGAAATTAGTAAGTATGCTAATTAGTGAAAAATATCAGTGTCATGTCATTTTCATATATAATAATGTTTCCAGTACATCAAATGTACTGCTAGTAGAAATTGGTTTTTACAACAGTGACAGTTTGATGTGAATGTATATTTTCTTTACATTTACTCTTTCTTTCTAGGCAACTCAGATTTTGTTTTTAAACACGTTGAATTTTGTAACTGTTTCGGGTAGCCTTAAAGGTTGTAGTAGCAAGAACAGCACAGTTCCAGCCAAGTTCATCAGGTCAGTAACTGATGTTGGTTTTGCTGCTGTTGTGAATTTTTTTTTTTTAACTTAACATTTTGATACGGAAATTTGACAAAGTATTTTTTTTCTTGCCCAATTTAGGTCTTACTGGGTTGGCGATATGAGTTGGACTCCTGATAGCCTTTTCTTGGCTTGCATGTTAAAACGTGGATCTTTGATTTTATTGACATGCATGGGTGAATTGCTGACCTTGATTACTTCTGGCTGCTCTTTAGAGTTCGGACCAGCAGAGTTTATTTCATTTCATCCACTAATAACATACAGGTAAAAGGATTTGAAAATGTTTATACATTTTTTGTCATATGATCATATCTTACTCATATTTTTTACAATTTCACATAAACCTCCTATGTCAGATTCCCTCTCCTGCTTTTCATGTGCCTTCTCAATATCCGTTCTCATTCATAGTTCTATTTCTTATAATGAGTTTGTTTTGATGAAAATTGGCATAATGACACTAAGTATACATGAAGTGATTTGATTTTTAGAAGTATTTGATTTAGTAGTAACTAAAAATGACATGATTTTATGATATAAGAAGAAACTGAATTTACAGAATTGCTGAAAGTGCAGATTTATTTTAATCCAGTGGCATTTCTCTGCTCAATATTAGATTTTACTTACAGAACTTTCTATCATAGTCATATGTCTTATAAATAACATATTTGTATGACAAAAGCTAGTTAGCTTTTGTATTGTTTTTTTGTGGGGGTACTCCAGATCTAATCTTTGAAATTATACTACTGGATGCATGGGGAAATAGAAGGATCTCTAACACTTCCTAGCGTCAACTCAAAGTTACAAAAAAGTAAAATAGTTTGAATAATAATAGGAAACAAAATAGAAAACTAACTTTAATTTTTATCCTATTAGTTCTGAATTACTACAGGTGGGTAGTGTATAAATGTAAACATCTTATGAAAACATTCAAAGCAGCCTAATACCTTCTTACAGTGGTTGAAAAATCAGATACTAAAATACCTTAAAACACCTCAGTTACAGTTATTTATTGAATGTACGTAGCTACTTTTTTCACCTTATCTACTAACTTTTGGAATATGAAGAAATAATAAAAAACCCCAAACCCAGCAACATTATGTCAGAGCATTATGGGGCTACATGCACAACACAGATTTCGGGATCTTAGTTAAGGAGTGATATCTTTGTAACAATAGGTTTTGTAAGCCCTCTTTCGTAAGAGAAGACTTGAGTGTTGATACAAAATTTTTCTGTGGAATGTCTGAAATGTGTCTGAAATACTGAGATTCCGAACTTGAGAGGGTTTTTTTCTTTTTCATACATGACTTTTAGCATCTGATTAAAATTCCATCTTCAAGCACTTATAGACACTAAAAGGTAAGAAAGTGTGCTATTGAAATTTGAAGTCAAATTGTGAAAAATATGTATACTACTTCTTAATGAAGAAGAGAATAGTAAGAGCATTTTTATTTTTCTTTAAATAAAAAAAGTTGCAACTCAGCAAAATACTGGTATTTTGCAAGCATAAATAGTGTTATTTGCAGTGCTTATCCTAAAAAATGTAGAAGCTTTAGAATTCTGAATGGACCTATAAGGGTAGTAATGTGAGTAGTATTAAACATTCATATTTTTTTTCTCTAATCTGTTAATGATTATTACATGTGATATTTGCTTAAATGTTGATATATCTTTATTTTAGACAGCAACACTCTTTTTATCAAGACTCTAGCCAGTCTGTTGGTTCTTCAGCTTCTGAAAATGACTTTATCAGACAGAGATTTTCGGTTTCTTCACATTCAAGATTACCCTACCTCATTGTCTCTGATGGATACATGATAACAGTGGTTAGATTTCCTAACAACCTTTCACCATCAGGATTCATAAGAACTCTTTTGCTTGATTCAACCCAACGGCTTGAAAATATCAGTTCAAATTTGCTGAACTCCAAGGTAGGGTCATGAATTATTTTGAGGATTTTATGCAAAAAAAGTGTGTAAAAGTGTGGAACTTTTTAAACTGAGTACCTCAATTTAGTATATGTTAGAATAATAGAATCATAGAATAGTTAGGGTTGGAAAGGACCTTAAGATCATCTAGTTCCAACCCCCTGCCATGGGCAGGGACACCTCACACTAAACCGTGTCATAAAAGGCTTCGTCTAGCCTGGCCCTGAACAGTGCCACTGGTGGAGCATTCACAATTTCCCTGGGCAACTCATTCCAGTCCCTCACCACCGTAACAGGAAAGAATTTCTTCCTTACATCCAATCTAAACTTCCCCTGTTTAAATTTTGACCCATTGCCCCCTGTCCTATCACTGCAGTCCCTTATGAATAGTCCATCCCCAGCATCCCTATAGCCCCCCTTCAGATACTGGAAGGCTGCTATGAGGTCTCCACTCAGCCTTCTCTTCTGCAGGCTGATCAGCCCCAACTTTCTTCAGTCTATCTTCATACAGGAGGTACTCCAGTCCCCTGATCATCCTAGTGGCCCTCCTCAGGACTTGTTCCAACAGTTCCATGTCCTTTTTATGTTGAGGACACCAGAACTGTACAGAATACTCCAGGTGAAGTCTCACAAGAGCAGAGTAGCAGAGCGGGATAACCTCCTTCGACCTGCTGGTTATGCTCCTTTTGATGCAGCCCAGGATACGGTTGGCTTTCTGGGCTGGTAGTGCACATTGCCGGCTCATGTTCATGTTCTTATCATCCAACACCCTCAAGTCCTTCTCTGCACGGCTGCTCTGAATCTCTTCTCCACCCAACCTGTAGCTATGCCTGGGATTGCTCTGACCGAGCTGTAAGACTTTGCACCTGGCATGGTTAAACTTCATAAGGTTGGCATCAGCCCACCTTACAAGCGTGTCGAGGTCCCTCTGGATGGCATTCCTTCCCTCCAGTGTATCAGCCAAACCACACAGCTTGATGTCATCTGCAGACTTGCTGAGGACGCACTCAATCCCACTGTCCATGTGAGCGACAAATACGTTGAACAAGACTGGTCCCAACACCTATCCCTGAGGGACACCTCTCGTTACTGGTCTCCAGCTGGACATTGAGCCATTGACTACGGTGTGCGGCCATCCAGCCAGTTCTTTATCCACCGGGTGGTCTACCTATCAAATTGATGTCTCTCCAATTTAGAGACAAAAGATGTCGTGTAGGACAGTGTCGAACGCTTTGCACAAGTCCAGCTAGATGACGTCAACTGCTCTACCACTGTCCGTCAGCTCCATAGCCCCATCACAGAAGGCCACCAAATTGGTCAGGCAGGATTTCCTCTTCGTGAAGCCATGCTGGCTGTCACAAATTACCTTTTCTTTTTCATGTGCCTTAGCATGCCTTCCAGGAGAATCTGCTCCAGGATTTTGCCAGGCACAGAGGTGAGACTGACGGGTCTGTAGTTCTCTGGTCATCCATTTTCCACTTCTTGAAAATGGAGGTTATATTTCCATTTTTCCAGTCATCGGGCACTTCACCTGGCTGCCATGATTTGTCAAATATAATGGGCAGTGGCTTAGCAACTTCATTTGCCAGTTCCTTCAGGACCCACGGATGGATTTCATCAGGTCCCATGGACTTGTGTATGTTCAGGTTTTTAAGATGGTCTCGAACCAGATCCTCTCCTGCAGAGCACCTAAGGTCATCATTCTCACAGTCCCTGTGTCTACCTTCCAAGACTTGGGTGGTGTGCTCAGAGCATTTGCCAGTGAAGACAGAGGCCAAAAAGTCTTTAAGAACCTCAGCCTTCTCCAAATCCAGGGTAGCCAGTTCTCCTGATAGCTACTGGAGAGGGGCCGCGTCCCTAGTCTGTGTTTTATTTGCTACGAACCTATAGCATCTCTTCCTGTTATCTTTCACATCCCTAACCAGGTTTCATTCTAACTGCACCTTAGCTTTACTAAGCTGGTCCCTAGCTTCCCGGACAACATCCCTGTATTCTTCCCAGGCCAGCTGTCCTTGCTTCCACCTTTTATAAGCCTCTTTTTTCCTTCAAAGTTTCCCCAGCAACTCCTTATCCATCCAAGGAGGTCTCCTGGCCCTCCTGTTTCACTTCCTTCTAGTTGGGATGCAACACTCTTGAGCTTGCAGTAGGTGAACCTTGAATATCAACCAGCAGTCTTGTGCCCCCTTGCGCTCTAGGGCTATGTCCCATGGAACAGGTTCCTGAAGAGGCCAAAGTCTGCTCACTTGAAGTCCAGGGCAGTGAGCTTGCTGCATGCAATTCTTGCTGTCCTGAGGATCTCAAATTCGACCATCTCGTGATTGCTACAACCAGGGCTGTCGTGGAGTGTCACATTTCCAACGAACCCTTCCCTGTTGGTGAGCATGAGGTCGGGCATGGCACGCGTCCTTGTCGGCTCCTCTATTATTTGCAGAAGGAAGTTGTCTTCCACACGATTGAGGAACCTCCTGGAGTGCTTGTGCTAGGCCGTACAGTCCCTCCAACAGATATCAGGGTGGTTGAGGTCCCCCATGAGAACAAGTGCCTGCACGCATGAGGTTGCTCCTGTCTGTCTGCTGAGAGCTTCATCCACAGTCCTCTTGATCATGCGGTCTGTAACAGATCCCCACAGTAATGTCTCCCATCGCTGTTCTCCCTTTAACCCTGATGCGCAAACTCTCTGTTGATTGCTCGCCTCTCCCCAGACTGAGTTCCATACTCTCCAGTCTGTCCCCAACATAAATAGGAATTCCCCCTCCCCATTTGCTGGGCCTGTCTTTTCTAAAGAGTCTGTAACCTTCCCTTCCAACACTCCAGTCATAGGAGCCATCCCACCATGTTTCTGTGATGCCTGTTATATCATACCCCCGTAGATGTGCACACATCTCTAATTCCTCTTGTTTGTTCACCGTGCTATGGGTGTTTGTATAGAGGCATCTGAGCCGAGCTCCTAATGAAGCCAACTCATTGGCTGGAGCAGCTGGAATATCTCTACATTGCTCCAAGCATTTATTGTAGGTGTTGGTAACTGACTGGTTGCATTGGGATGGAATGATACTCCCCTCCCCCAACACATCTAGCTTAAAGCTTCCTTGACCAGTCTAGTAAGCCTCCTAACCAAACTACTCTTCAAGCAGCAGCTTCACCAGCCTCCAGTAGACCTGGCCTACAAACTTAGTTCCTGTGTTCAAGACACCCAAACCCCTGACTATGGCACCACCCTTCTAACCATTTGTTAACCTAGGCAATCCTAGCCTTTTTAGGGTTCTCCCCTGTATCCTGGAGAATTGATGAAAAGACAGGCTGAGCTCCAGAGCCCCTAACCACTTATCCCAAGGCTCTATAGTCCTTCTCTATGTTCTCCAGAGTCCTTCGTGTTCTGCAGAGTCCTTCATTATGTTCTCCGTAATACTTTGATATTTTT